AACACACACACACACACACACACACACACACACACACTTTCACGAACGCGCGCCTCTACATTTTCGTAAGATTATGCAGTTATTCCCAGCATCCCGGGTTTCTCTTCGGCACTGCGCGTCGGAGAAGGAGGAGGAAGAGGAGGAAAGAGGACGAAGATATGGGTAAAAGGGAGACGGAGCGAGACCCCCTGAAGGAGATATATAGCGCCGAGCAACGAATGAGGTCCTTCCGAGAAAAGGGCCACCGACACAGTGCCCAAAACGCGCGCTCACGCGCGCACGAGGGGTTAGAACTACCCCGGTCAGTTTTCTAGTGCGCGATAACTATGAGAAAAAGATAAAAGTGATCGTAGTCGATCGTTGTTTATCTTTTATTTAGTCATTTTTTTCTGATACCACCTCTTCTCCATATTTTTTTTCTCTTCTCTATCTCCTTCCCCTCTCCCTTTCTCTCCCCTCTCTCTGGGTAAATTGCTGGTGAGATTCGTCGAGATCGCATTCCGGTGTTAATTCTTTTACACTTCTCTTTGCTTCTTTTTTATACTTCGAGATATACCGCGATGCTTCGCGCGATATCTTCGTCGCAACGATCACCGATCCGTTTTACGATTCATACGGATAAACGCGTTCGCCATTTGTCCTTCGCGAAAATGGTGTACGTATAGAATTTTATCACATCCGGTTTTCGATGGGAATGATCAAAAACAGCCTCACATGAAACGTAAATCTCAGATGATCCGAGATAATGTTCTGTATCTCTTTCCAAATTATTATACTAATTGATAACGTAAACGTACGTTATTTTCCTCAATTGACAAACAAGTTGATACGATCGTTAAATCGGCAGAAATGCTTTAATATCGATAAAAGAGAGGTTTTAACCTTTTCTTTATTTTATTTTCAATACAAATTTTATTGTCGGTGATATACTCCGATGGCGCTCGATGTCGAAATAACGAAATCTCCACCCTCTGCATAGCGCGACGAAGAGCGGCGAGAATATAAGCGGTGAATCGCCTGGCGCCATGGCACGCACACACCCATAGGATCCTCCTGCCTTCCTCCGCCTCTTTTCTCGGGGAAACTTTGGTGCCTACGACTCACGTGACCGTCTGCATTCTGTGTTTTCTGTGAATGACTGGGCTCGCGAACCAATCCGGTGGAAAGATAGAGAAAGAGCGAGATGCAGAAGCGAAGGAGAAGGAGAGGGGATGGTGGGAGGGGGGGGCAACGCGGCATCATTTCGAACATCGGGCTGTTGTACGTTCCTTGGCCTTTCTCGGGACCGAAACCGGGATTGGAATTCCCGAGGATAGCGCGGTCTCGATTCCTTGACAGATATCTTCTCTTCCTTTTTTACATCACGCTTCTACCGATGGCTCGCTTCTTTTTCGGCGCAGATTCGGATTTTTGCGATCGTAATCGTCTGTAAAGATTTTTCGGTTCGTTATCATAACATCGAGCTTATTCCGAATATTAGTTCAAATTGAAGAGTTTACTATAATAACATTGGTAAAAAGATCGTTTTCTATGTACGTTTTCTTTTTCCTTTTATTTTGCTAATTTTTATTCTTTGTCATTCCCGATATATAATTATTTTATTAGTCTAATTTTTATTAATATTTTTACTATTTTACATTTTATTTTCATGTATCATTTTTATTCATCATTAAATATTTAATAGATTTATATATTTTGTTCTCAATCTAAATAGAAACGATAAAAAAAAGAAGATAAAAAGTATTTAATATGTTGTTACAACAGACTAATTGTATATCTCAGTTTGAAACGGTCATAAATTCGGATAGTTCGTAAAAGTCGGGCCTAGCAATATATTTTTTTTTTATTTTTCTATAAAAAAACCATGTCCGTCTTCAGAAATATCGGCACTCTGGTAGTTAAAATTTTTTGGGTCGCAGATTGTTAACGGAGAGACGATCTATTGAAAAAATTCCAATACGTAGACACCTATGTGTGAGAGATAAAATACCTTTCATAATCTGATCAATTCGAAAACGATAAGAAACTTCTAAGTATCATTAACGTAGTGTATTTTCCTGATATCGTTTTGTCGCCGGTCTTTTTTATGGAACGTTATCCAATGTCAAACGTTAAGCAATAGCTTCGCTTTCGTCAATATTAACAGTTCTATGATATCAACATTCCAAGCGTTAAATTTTCAACAAAGATAATTAGGTAATTATTATATATATATATATATATATATATATATATATATACTTAATTATATATATAAGTTATATGTAATCGAGGTGAGATCTATGTTGGAATTATTTTAAGCCACGTGGAAAAGACTGACATTTACCAATCTCCGCGGATAAATGAAGTTATGACGAAATAACTCTCTCGGAAAGTAATTTCTCCTCTTATCACAAATTCATGAATTCCTAATCTACGAAATATGTCGGTATAAAAGCGGCTTGGAATTGGAATATTTATTATTAGATATCCTTTGGCGACGAAACATCTACCTTTACTCAACTGGTTTATTGGGTCACAACCGATCGTGAGAAAACGATTCCCCAACGTCTTGGTCTAGTCCGTTGGTTTAGACATTAGACTACGCAATCGTCGCCGATATAAGCACGAGGTCAGATGCGATCGAGTGACCACCAATCGCTTTCGCGTGCGCAGCCGAGTCCAATCTAAAAATGTCAGATGTCCGACGATGTAATTGCGAGGAAAGGGGTGGAGAGGAGGGGGGGGAGTGCGGGAGGGTAGGATTACGGATACCAATATGATCGTGCCGGTGCCTTACGGTCTCGCACACTTCAGCGGCCAATAACTTAATAATTGGGTCATTACACGAACGCTTTATTGATCGTTAGATTCAACTTAATCCCCGGCGGAGACCTTCGTGTGCAGTTACAGAGGATAAAATATAAAAGCTATCTTCGTCACGGTAACGAAACTATTAATTTCATCCGGAAGCTTTCTATTTATAAATTAACGACTCGCGCGAAGATTAGTAGTATATAATATTAGCACGTGACAGAAATATAATTAATGACATCGGCGTGCATGGATGATAAACAATATTATTATATTATTATATTATTAGCTAGACAATATTAGCGAATGCTCTCTTATCGCGCTTTACAATCTGATAAAATAATTTGAAGGAATATACACGTAAACTAAATCTGGAAATAACTATTATCTTTTCTTCAGAAATGAAAATTCACGACAATTTTTATTTAAACACTTAAATATTTTATTAATATGTCGGCCTGTATTAGGAATCTTATCTTTAAATATAGTTGATTCGTTATTTTAAATTATTAATTTATACATACATACAGATAAAGATAAAAGACGCTGGATTTCACTCGTTTAAAAATTTGTCTTGTCTTGATTTAATATTTATTATGAGGAAATATGACGTGGAAAGCTGATTGAATGGAAGGTAAAGGACAGTTACGGTTGTAGTGTACGACAAATATTAATAGTAAATATCGCAGCAATCATCCGAGGAAGATCACCCTGTGAATTTGCCTGCACTTCCGAATAATCCGATATTTGCTCGAGACTCGCGTCGATGTTGCGTAAAATTTACTCGCCATATTAAACGTCCGGCGGCAAGTCATTCGATTATTTGTGTAACAAATGTTCACGGCCGTACGGAATATTGAATTGCTCATCCCTAAGTAAATTCGTAATCTATGTCGTAACGCGTCGGCGCTCGCAGTTGCATTTAATGAGATCAGGACATTTATGGAATCCTTTATCACGCGTGAATATGATATATTTAGAAAAAGAAACGAGCGAAACGGAGTATTTTCAGAGACTCTTGAATGTCCACGTAAATTTTAAAATTATCTTTTATCAAAATGATATCGAAAAATACAACGGTATTGGAAAGAGTACAAGTGCATTTTGAAATTGAGATTTAGATAATTTGTAAGTTTTTTAGTAAGAATGTCTTCCTATCGTCTTACTCATACTTTCATATTCTCTTCTCGCGAATAAATTTTCTTCTTTCTTTTTTTTTAATCTATCACTCCGATATACTTTTTATATTGCCCATTATCAATTGATTCTGACTAATGTAATCTTCTTTGTGAATTCATTCTTTAATCAATGCCAATTACTTCGCTGGATGACACGCGATTTGGTATTTTAATGGGGCTAAATTGCATTTACGGCGCAGGTCATTACGGAGACGTAATTACCGAAGACTGAATTACTTTACTTATTAGTAATTCTAGGATCGAACGGGGTCCCTTCCCGCCCCTCCTCTCCCCCTCCGATCGCGAAATAATGGACGCGCCCGAGAATGCTATCTAAGTTTAATCTAATGAAGTGTTTCGCAAGTACTCGTTAATTAATTCATGCCCAATATCCGTCTACCGAGAGAAGTACTACCGCAGCTGATAAACTTCTAACTTCTGTTTTCAGATGACCTCTATAATTCTGGCGACACGCCGAGCAGCACCGCCATCGAGGGTGAGTTACTTTCAACCAATTCCGAAAGTTTTCGCGAAACGGGCGGCTTTAATTGAGTGTGTTTAGTATTCATTCCGCTATCGTGTTTAAGGGATTAAAGGGAAATTATACGAGATCGCGTTTCAACGGCGAACTATGCGGCGACTCTTCCTTTGACACCATCACGGCTTTAGCAGTATTCGACTCTCGGCATTAATACGTGTGTGTTTCGGCCAGTTAACAAGTGTTACTAGGTCGAAACTTCCAACTTTCCGGCGGATCAAATATGCCGTGTCATCCTGTTGCCCACGGAGAATCTTTAATAGAATATTCGAGCAAAGATTAATGCTGCTAATTTTGATATGATATTTCTTTGATCGAGCGATAAATGATACCGTTGTACCATATTTGCTTTGTACTAAAGTAGTTCTACATTGATCGGACTTTCCCAACATTTATCCTTATCCATTCCGTGTGCTAAAATTAATCCTTATATTCAGCGTTATGCGAAAAATGTAATTGTTATAAGAATATTTTATGAGATTGACCGAAAGAACGTAATCTTATTTGATTGATACTATTACTTGGCGTTTACCGTCACTCATTTTGTTATGCAATTATTGAAAATTCGCCCCCCCCCCTGTAACCGAGCATCGCT